AGAGCTGCACCAAGCTTCCATCGCCTCTGTTACGACTCGTCTGGAGCAGAACTCTCAATCTATCGATGATCTTCGTCTCACCACTTCTCACCTGGAGCAGTCGACATCCCGCCTTTAAGACCTCATCAAGGAGATGTCCACCAAGATTTCATCCATTTGTCCTCTATGTAGGCAACTCCTTCCCGAACCTAGTGGTCTTTACAAAGGTTCTTTACTCTGCTACTCCTCCTCGTGTTCCTCACCTTCGGGTCTTTTCATGACTGCACACATCTCTTCTCTTCCTACTCGGTTTCTGACCAAACAGAGCCGTGTCGAGTTCCCGAAGTTTGACGGCACTGATTTCCGAGGGTGGGCATACCGCTGCCTTCAGTTCTTTGAAGTCGACGCTACACCTCTTGAACACCGCGCGTCGCCTTCTGAGCATCCACCGGGAGGGCCATGCTTTGCGTTGGCACCAAACCTTCATGCGTCACCGCTCTTTCTCTGAGGTTCGTTGGATGATTATTTCAAGCAGATGGAACTCAAGTTCACTGATGTCCGTGATGAGCATCCTCTCATTGCTATTAAGAAACTCCAATAGGCCGATGATCTTGTCGCTGACTATGAGAAGAAGTTTGATGATTGTTATCTGAAATTGATATACCTGAGGATATTGCGGTCAAATTATTCATTGGGGGATTGCGACCCGATATCCACCAGTTGGTCCTCAACTCTGAGCCATCAACTTTGTGGGCCGGAGCGATGAGTTCCGCTCATCTCCATGAAGCAACCGTTCGTGCCTTACACGAGACGCCCCAAATCGCGATCGCATATTCTCTTCTATAACGGTAGGGTCAGCGGCGCGCCATAGTGTAGCTGGGTCTCGGACTCCCTCCTGTGTTTGGCTCAGCGACAGGCCCATTACCGACCCAGTTGTCCTCCAAACCCACTCTACTGTCTTGCTTTCAGCTTCCTCTCTGATGCAGTCCCCTGCGAAGCCCACCAAGCAGCTCTCAAAGAAGGAAATGGATGAGAGGCGACGTAAGGGTTGTGCTATTGGTGCCCTGAACGTTATACGAGTACTCACTGCTGCAAAGGACTCTCATGTGTTCACACTGATTATTGATGAAGATGAGGACCATTTTGAAGACGCTATTGGTGATGCTCAAGGTGAAGCCGATGGGACGATTAACGCCATTGAGGGCCGAGAAAACACATCCACTATGAAGTTATTGGGGTCGCATAAAGAATCAACAGATCATTCTTCTCATTGACACTGGTAGCACCCATAATATCATCGATGCGACTGTCGCCAAAAGGCTTAAATTGGGAGTTCAAGAACGGTCACCGGTCAGACTTACGGTAGCCGATTCTCGTCAGGTTTTGCCTTACTAAGCACTGTACCGAATTAAATTGGGAAATGGGGGGTACTTCCTTCTCATCTGACTTTCTGGTCATGAAGATTGGGGGGTATGATGCTATCCTTGGCACTCAATGGTTGAAGACCTTAGGCCGTTTTACAGTGGATATGGAATTAAGATCCTTTGAATTTAAATGGAATGGTCAGCTGCTCATTTTACGAGGTATTGGTTCAGTTGAACGGCCAATCTCAATGGAAGCCATGTCTATTAAAGAAATAATGATAGCCAGCCACTTATACCTCATCCACACCCCTTCCCATTTGCAAGTTGGGTTAAACACTGCCTCACCACTCTTAGAGAGCAACAGGCTGCCTTACAGCATCTTTTAGACAAATTTGCAAATGTCTTTCAGCAACCTAATTGTTTGCCGCCTCCTCGTAAGTTTGACCATTCTATTCCGCTTGTAGATGATAGACCTATCTGTTGTAGACCTTATAGATACGGTCCTCTCCAGAAAACTGAGATTGAGAATCAGATTCAACAAATGCTTGATAATGGTATCATTCGAGAGAGCACTAGCGCTTTTGCAGCCCCAGTAGTATTGGTACAAAAGAAAGAGGGGACATGGAGGTTTTGTGTTGACTATAGGAAATTAAACGAAGCCACAGTGAAGAACAAATTTCCTATTCCAATCATTGATGAGTTGCTGGACGAGCTGACAGGGGCTGCCTATTTTTCTAAATTGGATTTGAGGGCTGGGTATCATCAGATACGGATGAAGGAAGATGATATTGCCAAAACAGCTTTTAGGACTCATGAAGGTCTATATGAATTTTGGTAATGCCATTTGGCTTAACCAATGCTCCAGCTACTTTTCAGGGGCTCATGAATTCAGTTTTCAAGGCTTTCTGCGTAAATTTATACTGGTTTTCTTTGATGACATCTTGGTCTACAGCAAGGATTGGGTTACTCATTTACAACACTTGGAGACCACCCTGTTAACCCTGAGACACCACCAGCTCTTTGCTAAAGCCTCTAAATGCATTTTTGCTGCCACCCAGATTGATTATTTGGGCCATCTAATTTCTGCCCAGGGGGTTCAAGCTGACCCACACAAGTTAGATGCCATTGCTTCTTGGCCGGTGCCTAGTTCTATCAAGGAGTTACGTGGTTTCCTTGGTCTTACAGGATACTATAGACGTTTCATGAGGCACTATGGGTCCATTTGTCGGCCCTTAACTGCATTGGTGAAGAAAAATGAAAAGTTTCGATGGACAGATGCTGCAAATCAAGCTTTCCACACTCTTAAGGAAGCTATGATGTCTCCTCCAGTCCTTGCCCTCCCAAATTTCAATGATACCTTTGTCATTGAGACTGATGCTTCTGGTTATGGCCTAGGTGTTATTCTGTCTCAAAACGGCCACCCTTTAGCTTATGCTAGCAAAGCTTTACCTTCAAATAAGAAACCCTTGTCAGCTTATGAGCGAGAAATTCTTGCCATTATATTTGCAGTGAGACAATGGCGTTCCTACTTATGGGGGCGTAAATTCCTTATTAAGACAGATCACTTACCCTTGAAACACCTGCTTGAACAGAGAGATCTCAGTCAAGAACAATTTAAATGGCTACATAAATTATGGGGCTTACATTATGAAATTGTTTACAGAAAAGGTAGTGATAATGTGGCTGCAGATGCCCTTTCCAGGCACTCAGATGGATCTTGTTTGGCTCTATCTACTCCTGTCTGTCACCTCTTTATGACAAGGTGAGGGACTCTTGGTTACTTGATGACAAGCTGCAGGATTTGATTAGAGACTTGGAAAAAGACCCAGCATCCCATTCCAAGTACACTTGGCAGCACCAATTGCTTAAACGTAATGGGAAAATGGTTATGGGAGCTGACCGTGCGCTTCGAACTGATCTATTGACTTTTTTTCATGCTGACAGCATTGGGGGACATTCCGGTATTCACCCTACTTACAGGAGACTTGCTTCTTTTTTCTATTGGAAAGGTATGGAAAAAGATGTCCGTAATTTTGTACGTGAATGTACTGTTTGTCAACGTTTCAAGCCTGAATTGGTTGCTTCTCCTGGGCTTCTTCAGCCCCTTCCTATTCCGGACCACATTTGGTCTGAATTGTCTATGGATTTTATAGGGGGCCTTCCTAAATCTTATTCTAAGACTACTATATTAGTGGTGGTGGACCGACTATCTAAGGCAGCTCATTTCATAGCTCTTAAACATCCATTTATAGCAGTAGATGTGGGCACGTGTATTCATGGATAATGTTGTCAAATTACATGGGTTTCCCAAATCTATTGTCATGGATAGGAACCCTATTTTTTGTGGCAAATTCTGGAAGGAACTCTTTCGACTCTATGGAGTTAAGCTTCACTATTCTTCTGCCTATCATCCTCAAACGGATGGACAAACAGAAGTCTTGAATCGTTGCTTGGAATGCTATCTTAGATGTATGACTGGAGATTTCCCCAAACAGTGGGCCAAGTGGCTTCCCTTGGCGGAACTATGGTACAATACCACTTACCACTCTGCCATAGGAATGTCTCCTTTTGAAGCAGTATACGGTGTAGCTCCTCCTGTCCATCTACCATATATAGTTGGAGATTCCCCAAATGAACTGGTTGACCGAACTTGTCTGTCCCGTGAGATGGTTCTACAGCTCTTGAAGCAGCATTTAAGTAAGGCACAACACAGAATGATGCAGCAGGCTAATAAGAACAGATCTGAACGTCACTTTTCAGTGGGTGATATGGTTTATCTGAAGCTACACCCTTTTCGCAAAATCTGCTGAATAACTCTTCCCTTCATAAACTTGCTGCTCACTACTTTGGACCATTCAGAGTCCTAAGGAAATTGGAACTGTTGCTTATGAATTGGATTTGCCACCTGAAACTAGAGTACATCCAGTGTTTCATGTTTCCCTTCTTAAGAAACACGTGGGTCCTTCAAATGCTCTCACTCAATCGCTCCCTCCTGTGGATGTCAACGGTCACTTTATGCTAGAACCTGAACAACTTTTAGGGAGAAAAGTTGTTAGACGTCACAACCTCCCTGTCACACAAGTTCTGGTTCGATGGAAATTTTCTCAACCTGAAGATGCTACTTGGGAGGACCTCTCTGCCATCAAGCAACAATTCCTAGACTTTGATAGTTCAGCACCTCCTACCAACACCATCCTTGTGGACAAGGATCCTTTTTGAGGGGGGGAGTATTTGATATGTGATAAGTCCTATAAAGGGTACTACGGTAAATAATACTAGTTCAGGGGCGCACTACCTGAGAGTTAGTTAGAAGAGAGAGAGTGTGATTGATGATGTGGCCAGGGAAAAGGGGTTATATGCTGTACCTATCGTTATTTCCAATTTGTCGAATGAATATACTCTGTCATTTTCTCTCTTTCTGGTAACAATAGTCTTCATACCGAAAGATTTTTCGACCCAAACACCACTGATGAAGGACACGATTGGCCCTCCATTTTTAGGGCCCTCCACATTCCTTAAGCTTGAAAAAATATGTGAAGATGCAGAATTCAGATCACCTTTGCTCTCAGATCCCAGAAAGGAGAGAAGCTGCTGCAAGGTATTTCCTTTAGATCCAGCAGCAATAAGGCTCAATATGATATGAAGAGAGTGGGGAAGACACGAAATTGAAACCTTTTTCAATTTGTTTATGGAGAACTCTGCTAATTGCCCATTCTCTTGAGCTTCGGTGGTGCGCTTCATTTGATTGACTTGCCCAAATTTACAAGGAGCACGGGATGTGATAAACTCAATTAGGGTGTGTTTGGATTACTGATGGGAGAAGTTACTTTTTTTCAATCTGACTTTGGGTGTGTTTGGTATGGCAGAAGTAACTTTTTTTAATATGAATTTTACAGAAGTCAGATAGTGTAATGTGATTTATGTTTGGATTGGGTTTTGTAAAAAAATCAGTTTAAGAAACTTGTTTGGATGATAAATGTAAAAGTAAGTTTGGATGCAAAATAATTTAAAAGGACATGGATTTTGTTAAATAGTACATATCTAATATTAGATATATATAATGTGACTATTTTAAAAGAGGTAAGGAAAATAAAATTATTAAAAATAAAAAAATTTAATTTATTATTAGAAAGAAATTATATATATAATGTGACTATTTTGAAAGAGGTAAGGAAAATAAAGTTATTAAAAGTTAAAAGAATTTAATTTATTATTAGAAAGAAATTATATATATAATATGACTATTTTAAAAGAGGTCAGGAAAATAAAATTATTAAAAGCAAAATCTCCAAATTAAATTTTATTAGTTATTTTTTTTTTCATATAATGCTTTTATAAACATAAAATTATTGAATTAAGTGGGACCATTTAAATACCCTTTTCTTTTTGTCTCTCGATTTTTCTCTCTCCATGATGTGGCTGAGAAGCAATAATTTTGAGCTTCTCATTCAATCTGACTTTTCCATGAAAAGCCCATTTATTTCACAGTGATCCCAAACAATAATTTTTAGGAAGAAGTTCGTTTCAGCCTTTAAATGAGCGTTTGGTATGGTCCAACACAATCCCAAACATGCTCTTTAACTTCTTTCCAATCTGATTTTTGCAAAAGTCAGATTAGGTAAAAGTCAGGTAATGTAATATGATTTATATTTGGATTAGCTTTTGTAAAAAGGTCAATTTAAGAAACTGAAACTTGTTTGGATGATTAATAAAAAAGTAAGTTTAGATGTAAAATGACTGAAAAAGATATGAACTTTATTGAATGATACATATTTATATTATATGTTTATAATGTGATAATTGTAAGAGAATAATTAAATTAAAATTATAAAAATAAAAATAGTTATTTTTTAGAATAATTAAAACTAAAATAATACATTTAAATTTTAGGAAAAATTGAGAAAAAGTCCTCCTATTAAAAATATAATTAGTGAGAAGGATCTAAATCATAATACAAGCATCCTATATCTAAAATATTTACGCTTAGTATATAAAAATTTATCAATTACTTCTTACCAATTAAATTTTTAATAGAACATTTTTCTCAATTATCCATAGATTTTATAAATATGATAGTAAATAATAAAGAATAATAAATTTATTTTTTTAAAAACGGTTTCATTATTCAAAAAAATAATTTCTTTAATATTAAAAATCAACTCAAGTGGCTGGGGTAAAAAAAAGAAAGCACACATCATGCATAATGCATCCTCTCCTCTCCTTCACACATGGGCCTGCCTATCCAAACATGCAGTGGAGAAGCTGAAAGCAACAAATTGGAGCTTTTGGAAAAAAAATTTGTTTTAAGTATAAATCCATTTACCTCCACAGCCAGTCCAAATATGTGTTTTAAACAAAAAGTTGCTTGTTTCAACTTTTTCTAGTGGGGAAGTCAGTTTGGGAGCCACTACTGTGATCCCAAATACATTGTTAGTGTGGGTCCGTTTGGATTAGCTATAAAAAGGAAATTTATTTTCAACATGACTTTTAGAAAAGTCAGATTAGGGAAAAGTTAGATTAGGTAATGTAATTTATGTTTGGATTAACTTTTATGAAAGTTAGTTTATAAAGTAGAAAAATTATTTGGATTATGATTGAATAAATAAGTTTAGTTTGTAAAATGACTAAAAGGAGTATGCTTTTTATTAAATAATAAAAAATAATTAAAAATATAAATTTACAAAATCTAATAATTTTAAATTATTATAATAAGAAGAAATTTATTTAATGAATAAAATATATTTAAATTAGAAATCATAATAATATAAATAATATTATATAATTAATTGGATGGTATACTATGCATGGTTTATCTAAATATAAAATAAAAATAATAAAGTAGTAAAATGATTTTATTAAATGATATTATCTCCGGTCCTTAATATAAGAATTAGTTAGAAATTTAATTTAGTCATAAATATAAGATCTTAATCCACTTTGTCTATAATATTTGTCTATTTTGCTCCTAAATAATCCTTAAGCTATAGTGATTACACATGTTAATAAATTTTCATCAAGAGTAGCTTTCAATGCATATAATTTATGGGAGTATTTTATGAAAAATAACATCCATTTATTACATATAATTAATTAAATTAATTTTTTTAATATTTACAAATTAGTTATATTTTGTACTAGAAAGAATATAAGTCTAAGTTTGAATATAAGTAATATAGTATAATGTGATTTAAGATAAATTCTTTTAAAAGAGTGGAATCCAACTTTTTTTCATCTTCTCTCTCTACTTTTCAAAAGTGATAAGCTCTAGATTTTTGCTTATGATTTATGGTGGCTTTTCATCCAAAATTTAAATTGTTTTAACGCTATTACAAACACTCAACTTTATTCAATCTGTCCCATTGCACGTTTTGACTCAATAAGTTATTTTTCTTCTATAAAAGCGCTAAAGCAAATAGGCCCTATATGTGCTGGCTCTTCGATTCTTTTATTTATTTCTGTTGTGTTTGGATTGCCGTTTAGATTGATAAACGTGCCTTGGAAAGCGCAAAATGTTGGTTGGGAGATTATTTGGGGCGTGTTTGGAACGCTGTTGGAAGGGAAAATAAGCATTGGGAAGAGTGAAACTTCAATTAGTGGCTTATTTAAGGGTGAGATGTTGATTCCATTTAGATTAGCAATTGAAAAAGTAGCTTATTGTCAATCTGACCTTTAAAAAAAGTGAGATTGGATAAAAGTTAAATTTGGTGATGTGAATTGTGTTTGAATTGGATTTTGTAAAAGTTAGTTTGTGAAAGTAAGTTGTTTGAATTATGATTGAATAAGTAATTTTAGTTTATAAAATTACCAAAATGAGTAAGACTTTTATAAAATAATAAAAATTAAAAACTTATCAATTTACATAATAATTTTAGATTATTTATGAGCTTCTGTTGATCTCATATATTTTCTTTTATTTTTTATCATTTATTATAAAAGTATATTTGAAAATAAAAGTATATTTCTAGGAGCATATTTAAAAACAAAACTATATTTCTAACTTATTTATTACTTTCAACTAATTTTGACTGATTTTTTGTTATCTACAAATTAGTTATTTGAGGCTTATAATAAGAACTAAATGCGGTAATAAATTTCTTCACTTTTTCTCAATGTTTCAAAAACTTTAAATCATAAGTAGCTAATTTTTACTTATAGTTTATTGTAACTTTTCATATAGAAGTCAAATTGCTCAATCGCCAACCTAAACACCACAAATTCTTTAAACAGGCTTATGCCTGAAAAAAAAAACAGCTTATTGCCCTCTAAACACTGAGGCAAACAGACTCATTGTTTGAATTAACTTTTGAGCAAATAGGTTTTTGAGAAAAAGTTAGATTGAAGCAAAAGCCAAAATTTGGTATACCAGGAAAAAAAAGCCAAAATTTGTAGGTTTCAGAAAAAAGCCAACATGGAGAACCAAAAAGGATGACCATTAGATGAGAGACGAGTGTTTTAAAATGGGCCGTACTTTACTTCAACAAAAATAAAGATTACTCTAAAAATACTCAATAACTATATACTTCTATAATCTTATTTATAAGGTAGAAAGAGAAGATTTTTCTCGGTCCTATTTATAAGTTACTTTATTAAAATTTTGGCATAAATGTACAATTTTGTCATTAATTTATTATAGTGTATATAGTTTTTTTTTTAAAGGTGTATATATTAAATAAGGTATAGTTGAAAAGTTGTTATATTTTAATAGAGCGTTGATGTAGTTTAAAGTTTTTCTTAATCTATGTTAAATAAGCTGAAAAAGTCTTATAAATAGAACAAGAAAAATATGTTTATAAAAGTATCCAAAGAAAGGAAAAATTAAATAATAATTTAGAGAAAATTGGAAAAAAAAGGTCTTCATTAAAAATTTAATTGGTGATAAAGACGTAATAAATTTTTATACACACAGAGTAGTAACACTTTGCAAATTAATTTTGTATACAAACCCTTTAATTTAAATCCTTTTTATTAATTTAAAATCCCTATTATAATTTTCTTACTAACAAATATTTTTATCTTATAATTATAATTTTAATTATTTTTTTAATAATTATCACATTAAAATCATATAATATAAAATACTAGTATTCAATCAAATTCATGTTCCTTTTAGTCATATTACAGATACTCTATTAATCATCCAAATAAATTTTAATTTTTTTTAATTGACTTTTTATAAGCATCAATTCAACCATAAATCACATTACATTAACTGATTTTTA